ATTGGAAAGAGCCCAGTTTGTTCTAATTACACTCCAAAAATCACCCCATTACGATGTACAGTAAATGAGAACGAATAAAAATAAAATCGATCTTCTAGTTTGTGATCCGAATTGCCCCACCTGAGTGTATTTAAAATTAAATTTTTGTTCAATTGAACTATGTTTCAATATTATTTCAAATGAATTTTCATTCAAACGATTATGAACAATATTCGAAAAAAAACAACCAAAACAATGTTTATTATAATAATTTAATGAAAGATAAGAAATAAATTTCATAAATATGGTTTTTTTTTTTCCTTGCAAACAAATAAAATTTTCTATCATATATCATATTAAAGGCTTTTCAATAATAACAAAAAGAAAGAAAAAAAAGGTCATGCTATTTTTCATTGTTTTTCGTTCATCGTCTAATAAGACAATTGAAAAGAATATCATTGTTTTTATTGACGATATCGGTCAAATCAAAATCGATGAATAGAACACATAGATATATATATATATAGTATTAGAAAAGTAGATATGTGTTGACCAACAAACATGAATGATTTGTTGGCTCAATTGGATGATTTACCTGATGAAATTCTTATGTATATATTTAAAAAATTGTACAATGATGAAGTGCTTTATTTTTTAATGGATGTTAATCAACGACTCAATAGAATTCTACATGACAGAGTCTTTACTCGTCGTTTATGTTTACTAAAATATTGTCGAATCGACAATTCTACCATTCCATTACCAGACTCAATACTTGATCGATTTTGTTCAAAAATTTTACCTAAAATTGGACATCAAATTGAAACTCTTTATCTTGAACGAACATCGATAGAACGTGTTCTTCATGCTACAAATTATATTAATTTAAATAAACTTGGTTTATGTGATATTCACTACACAGAAGCTATGTCTCTATTTACTGGTAAGAGATTTTCTTTTATTGATTTCACTGTAGAATTCATTAGTTACTGGAAAAACAAACTTATTTAGTTAATAGAATTAGATATTTATAATTAAACATCATCGAATAATAGAAAATCATTTTTTATTTCTCTTTTATTTATTACATAAAACATATCATTTATAGGAATTTCATTACGAGAAAAAGAATTTAATCGTTCATTTGTATAAGAAAAAAAAAAGAAGATATTGGTAATATATTCAACTGAAATTTTTCAAGATTAATACAGGAAATATAGAAAGTCTAGAAGATAAACAAATCAATGAATGAGATAGAATACAATATTGATCACATACAATGTAATCTATGAGAGAATTTAAAAAAAAGAAAACATCAAATATATAGATGAGAATATTGTTAAAAATACAAAATCTTAGATATTTTAATTGAATGAATAGAAACAGATCTGAAAAATATTTTCATTTATTTTAAAACTATATTTAGAGAAGAATCCTTTAACCCATATATTCAAAAATCAAATTACATCACTCTTTACTAGTTTTAATAAAGGAAACGTATCGTCTCCATTGGGAGGTGTCTCTCCAATTATATTTACAAAAATTTTGACAATATTTACTAATTTACAATGCTTGAAATTCAATCCATCGGCATCTTATCGTGACGCTTCAGTTTTACATATGGCGGATGAAATTGTCATCTGTTCAACTTTGTTAGAATTACATGTCACTGTGGCAAATATGGAAGACTGTCTTTATATACTTGATGGACGTTTTGATCAACTTCGTATACTTTATGTTACTTTTTATGGTATCTTTCTTGGGTTTTTCAACATTGAACATAAGGTAGGTTATTTTTATTAATATTTTGTTTAAATGAATTCATATTTGTTTCCATTTTCAGGAAAAGTTATTACCGAACTTACGGATTTTTTCTTTGTACTGCAAGCAGCAGACACATGATTTTGATGAATCAATTGTACCACTTCTACGTCGAATGTTAAATTTAGAAGAACTTGATTTAAATATTCAAGTTAAATGTTATGAAAAATTTATTGATGGTGATACATTGAAGAAAGATATTATTATTTATATGCCACAATTATATAAATTCACATTTAATATTTGCTCAATAATTAATCATCGTAATCAAACTATTTTTCCATTAAATGAAGATATTCAAAAAACTTTTAAATATTTTTCTAATAATGAAATAATTACTTGTATTGATCACTTCCAAGAAGAAGGATGTAGTCAATGTCATATTTATTCATTTCCATATAAATTGAAAGTTTATAATAATATAACAAATAATTTTCTAGGTAGATTATTTACTAGTGTTACTGAAGTATCATTATATGATGAACGTCCATTTGAACATGAATTTTTTCTTCGAATTGCTCAATCATTTCCATATATGAAAGAATTAACAATAAATAATCGAAAAGCACAAAATAACAAAAAATTAATAAAATTAAACAACGATAATCAAATATTGTCAATTATTGAATATCCATATCTTACTCGACTTAATCTTATTAAAACTCATGATGATTATGTTGAATTATTTTTATTCGATACGAAAATATCTTTGCCAAATAATCTTCATCTATGTGTCGATTATCAATCATTGAAAAGAGTGACATACGATTTTACAAGATATATAACACGAAATCATTCTTCAAAACTTGCTGCTCTTTATTTTTCTCCATTGGATCAAATCGATGAACATATTAAAAACTATTTTCCTCATATATATATGTTCTTTTGCTGATTTTGTATTATCTATATAAAATATATGAAAAAGAGATCTTTTTTATATGAAATGAAATGATTGAAAGAGACAAAAGAGAATGAATAAAATAAAGGTAACAATTTCAAAGAGAAATCAAATAACAGATACAGTTCCATCCAAAATTCATTGTACAACTGAGAAATAAGCTTGTATATTTACAATAGATTTTGAATATTGCTTAACTGTTTGAATTTTAAATGTTTCATCATTATATAGCTTATCTATGATATTGATTTTACAGTTCAATTCTTTGTATCTGTCAATGAAAGGTGTTCACAGAACAGAAAAGGATGACATCTTCGACGATTTTCTTTCTAATGTTCTAAATGAAAAATGCCTAATTATGATTGTCAATTGCTATTTATTCTTCTCGCTAGTCAAAATAAATAATATTTATTGGTAAAGAATAGAAATGAGATCTAAATATTTCTGCGAAACATTTTCAATTTGAATCAATATAATGAAAATAAAACAATAAGCAGATGCAATCTTATCTTCTTTTCGTCTTCCTTTATTATATAAATGGAATAGGACAGACGAACAAGGAAAAAAAAGAGACACAAACACAAGAAAAAAAAATCACGATCCTTTTTTTTATTTATTTAAGCTGCTTACAGCTTTCTTCAACATATGTAATGCTGAAGTTAGTACATGTGAACCTGAAGCATCAGTTACTAGATTAGCGTTTGAGAAAAATTGAAAGTGTTCCATTAAATTTACTAAACCCTGACTGTGAACAGCACTGCTTGATAAAACAATCTTTTGATATTGTTTAATAGCTGTTTCAAATGATGTTTTTGTTAATAATTTATCAATTATGAGATCTATAATTGATTCATTTGTTGTATATCCATATAATAATAGTGACCATTGTTCAGGTGTCATATAAAAACCTTTAACATATAAAAATATTTATTAAATATAACTTGAACAAAAAAAAACCCAGGTCCAAAAATCCGACGACGGATCCTATCCGATCCGATCAGACCCGAAAACCGACAAAAATCCGATCGGAATCCGGGTTACAGAATTCCGATTGGATCCGACAATCGGATACTCATACGTTTCCGATAATTTCCGATTGTCGAAATCCCCATTTATTCCGACGGTCGGATACCGATCGGATTTCTATAGGATTATATCAATCTTTCAACCGAGGTCCAAAAAATCCGACAAAAATCCGATCGGAATCCGGCTTGCAGAATTTCGATCGGATCCGACAATCGCATACTCATATGCTTCCGATAACTTCCGATTGTTGAAATCCCCATTTATTCCGACGGTCGGATACCGATCGGATTTCTATAGGATTCCATCAATCTTTGAATCTGTGGTCGATTTTATTTATTATGATAATGTTTGGAATCTAAATTTTACCTTATGTGAGCCGGAAAGTTTCATGATTTATAGCCACTGAAACGTAGTGTCTTTAATATAGGTTTTGGATTAAGGTGCAGCAGAATAGTTATTTTTTCTAGTATATAATGCCTTGATCAAGGAACTTATAGAATGCGGCTACCCGCGAGAAAGCTTGTTGACCTGATAACAACAAACTGTCTGTTTTCAACATGAGCACACAGGTTTCTATGAAGTACGAACTAAAAGAAGTACTGAAGTACAGAAGTAGTAACTTCGATTCTATGTTTCTGCCCAACTGACCAAAATATACACTAAAACAACATGTCGTTATCCGTTGTGACAAAAATCGTTTCAAACGTAGAATCTTTTCACTATATTCATAAATTCATAAAACAGAAAATTTTTAGTTTCGAAACTGTTTAAAAAGGTCTGAATATGACATTGAATTCAGTTAAATTATTTCATTTCTCGAAATGGCAACGAATGTATACCTAGATATCTCCATTCGAGCTTAGCACTGATATAAGTTACTATCCTATTGGATCACATCGGATTTTGAAAATTCATTTCTGGAAATGAGCAAATATGCCTACCTTCATATCTCGCTTGGAGCTTATCATTAATATAAGTTTCTACCATTTGGATCCGATGGGGATTTTGAAAACTGAGTTCTGGAAATGGCAAAAATGTACATCTACGTATCTCCATTCGAGCTTAGCACTGCTATAAGCTTCTATCCTATAGAATCCGATCGGATTTTGAAAATTGAGTTTTCGAAATGCCGGAAAATCCAAACTTCCATATCACCATTGGACTTTATCTTTGATATAGGTTTCTGCCCTATAGAATCCGATCGGACTTTGAAAATTCAGATCTGGAAATGGCCAAAAAGGCGTACCTATATATTTCAATTGGAGCATAGCATTAATATAAGTTTCTACCCTATAGGATCCGATCAGATTTTGAAAATTAAGTTCTCGAAGTGATCAAAAAGCCATACCTACATATAACTATTAAAGCTAAGCATTCATACAAGTATCTATCCTATAGGATCCTATCGGATTTTGAAAGTTGAGTCCTGGAAGTGATGAAAAAGGCATATCCACATATCTCCATTGGAGCTTACCATTGATATAAGCTTCTATCCTATAGGATCCGATAGGATTTTGAAAATTGAATCCTGGAAGGGATGAAAAAGGCATACCCATATATTTCCATTAGAGCTTACCACTCATATAAGCTTGTATCCTATAGTATCCGATCGGATTTTGAAAATTAAATCCGAAAGCGGTCAAAAGGCATACCTACATATAACTATTAAAGCTAAGCATTCATATAAGTATGTATCTTATAGGATCCGATCGGATTTTGAAAATTCAGTTCTGGAACTGGACAAAAAGGCGTACCTATATATTTCAATTGAAGCTTAGCATTAATGTAAGCTTCTATCCTATAGGATCCGACCGGATTCTGAAAATTGACTTCTGGAAAAGCCAAAAAGGCATACCTATATATCTGTATTTCAGCTTACCATTCATATTAGTTTCTATCCTGTAGGATCCGACCGGATTTTGAAAAGTGAATTCTGGAAATGGTCTAAAAGCCATACCTACATACTTCTCTTCAATGTTAGCATTGATATAAGTTTCTATCCTATAGGATCCGATCGGATTCTGAAAATTGACTTCTGGCAAAGGCCAAAAAGGCATACCTACATACTTCTATTCAAGGTTAGCATTGATATAAGTTTCTATCCTATAGGATCCGATCGGATTTTGAAAATTAAGTGCTGAAAATGCCGAAAATGGCATACTTATATATTTCCATTAGAGCTTACCATTGATATAAGTTTCTATCCTATAGAATCGGATCGGATTTTAAAAATCCACTTCTGGAAATGGCCCAAAATTCATACCTACATATCTGCATTGAAACTTATCATTGATATAACTTTCTATCCTATAGGATCCTATCGGATTTTGAAAATTCATTTGTGGAAACGACGAAAAATGGAAACCTACATGTCGCCGTTGTAGTTTACCATTGATTTATGTTTCAATCCTATAGGATCCGATCGGATTTTGAAAATTGAGTTCTAGAAATTGTCAAAAGTGTGTCTCTACATATCTCGCTTGGAGCTCATTGTTGATATAAATTTTTGTCCGATCAGATCCAATGAGATTTTGAAAATTGAATTCTTGAAATAGTCAAAAATACATACCACTATGTCGCGATTGAAGGCCATCGTTGATATAAGTTTTTATCTTATCGGATCCGATGGGATGGTGAAAATTGAGTTCTGGAAATGGCGAAAAATGCATATTTGTATCTCACATTGTAGCTTAGCATTGACATAATTTTCTATCCTATCGGATCCGATGGGATTTTGAAAATTGAGTTCTGGAAATGGCGAAAAATGCGTATTTGTATCTCACATTGTAGCTTAGCATTGACATAATTTTCTATCCTATCGGATCCGATAGGATTTTGAAAATTGAGTTCTGGAAATGGCGAATAATGCATGCTTCTATCTCACATTGTGGCTTAGCATTGATATAATTTTCTATCCTATCGGATCCGATGGGATTTTGAAAATTCAGTTCGGAGAATGGCGAAAAATGCATAGTTGTATCTCACATCCTAGCTTAGCATTGATACAATTTTATATCCTATCGGATCCCATCGGATTTTGAAAACTGTGTTCCGGAATTGAGCAAATGGGCATACGTACATGTGTATTTTCTTGTTTAGCGTTGATATAATTGTCTTTCGTGTCGAATGTGATAGATTTTTGAAACTGATTCCTGGAAAGGGCTAGAGATGTGTGCGTATAGAGCTCTGTTCAATAATATTATGGTTAGAATGTTGTATCGTGTAAGATTGTATTGAATGTGTGGAATATGGATGTGGAACTCTTTGTTGAGGAAGGGATGTATGCAATTTAGTGTCTGTTTTTGCTTTCATCGATTGGTAGGCTAGTTTGAGTATATTTTTGAAAGGCGATGTTTAGTGTAAAACGCATGTAGTTTTTTAATTCATGAGAATGTGTCGTTAGGGGCGAATGTTTAGCTTTTTTTGGCTGGCTTTAGCAGAGATGCTATTATGGACGTCTGGTAATTTTATGAGGATAGATTGGTGAATAGTATTGTTTGAGTTAGGCTTCGCAGGCGGTTCGTAATGGTTTTGTGTATGTGTATATTAGTATTTCGAATTTGTGTGCATTATTTATGGTGCGTTGAGATGTTTTTTTGGTTTTAAATATGGCATTTGATGGATTATGAACAGTTGGAGCGATTCGGCTTCCGTTAGTAACGTTAGTGTTGGCTGCCGAAAGTGGTTTCCGATCGGCTTCCGTTCCGATAGCTGCCGATCGGATGTCGACAGTAGGATCCGATAGGATTGCCGATACCGGGGATTCCGTCACATTTCCATAACCGGTTTTCCGGGAAAATCCGATAGGATTCGGCCGAATTTGGTAGGAATCCGATAGGATCCTAGACGGAACCTATCGGATCCTATTATCAGATTGGTCGACCTGGGTAAGTCTGATACGAAGAATCTCTTATCACGAATATTACCAACAATAGACGCTTCTCGAACGAATAAATCACGATATTCTGGTTTGTCTCGTCTAGATAATATATAAAATTAAATTAAATATAAACTTAGTTGATATTAATATACCTTTTGATAAAGGCATAGTGCTTTGTTCTATTGACTGTGACCACAGAACCTTTAATTCCTTCCTCTGAAAATAGAAAGATGTTTCTTTTTAATTCTTGAGTTTCGAAAATTTATTACCGAGAACAATTGGTCGATTATCACCACCAACAACTGTTCCATTGTCGCCGAAAATGACTGATTCAACAGCTGCTAAATCTTCCTTTGTTGTAGCCATTGATTGATTATATTTTTGTGTACTCAAAAAGTGACTACACTCTAGAATCGGTCAGTATGTCCGTCCGGCCGGCCGTTTACACGATAAATTTTGAAAGGAGAGTCCGATTGTGATGAAATTTTCTACACAGCTTAGTCTCAACAATATCTCGATCAAGTTCGAAGATGAGAAGGATTGGCCGAGCTGTTGCTGAGTTATTGGAAAAATAGTAATTTTCCCTATGCCTTCCTATGTGAGAATCGACCTATCCCCGCTTTCGTAAAAAACTTTTCCTATCATAGTCAAATAAAACCCCAATTATTATACACCATTCGATAGAGAATTTCACGAGCTACAAAATGGTATACAAAGCATAAAGAAATAAGAAGACTAACTAACCTATTGCAAGGGTAATTAAACGGGAATTGGTTCTGTTTGTGTTCATACTCTAATTGATCGACAATTAGAGCTCTGTCTTTCGATCATAGAGATGACAGTTCGAGGTTTTTTGGATCGGAGAACTCCAATCTGAGCTCTGTTTGCCTCGAACTTCTATTGGTTGAGCAGTAACCAATAGAAATCAAGTTATCGTAAAAAACGACTTTCCTAGGGTAAATCAAGGCGAAGAGTTGAAATCTAAGCTCTATTCACATCTAAATCCTAGTGGTTGAGCAGTAGCCAATAGAAATCGACTATTTCTAGAAAAGGTTTGCCAGGATAATTTTTACATCCACACATTCTACGATGACTCATCTGTCTCGTTCACTTTTTGAAGTACACATAACA